CATTATACCCAGCAGGACACAGGTGCTAAACTTTAAAAAGGCTGACTTTAATAGGCTCAGGGGACTGGTTAGCAGGGTACTAGGAACCAAGAGCCTAGATGCTTTTGGGGTCCAGGATGGGTGGTCATTCCTCAAGGAAATCGTCCTTTGGGCTCAGAGTGAGACAATCCCATGGCAGAGGAAAGGGGGCAAGGAGGCCAGGAAGCCCCTTTGGCTAACCAGGGTCATTCAGGATACCTTAAGGGAAAAAAAGAAGCATACAGGAAGTGGAAGCAGGGGTAGCTAGCAAGGAGAAGTATACTTCTTTGGCCTGTGCCTGCAAGGAGTCAGTCAGGAAGGCCAAGGCAACTCTAGAACTCAGGCTAGTGGCAGGGATTAAGGACAATAAAAAGTCCTTCTTTAGGTACGTTGGGAGCAAAAAGAGGGTGCAGGGTAGCATAGGACCCCTACAGGATGGGAAGGGGGGATTAGTGATGGATAGCAAGGACAAGGCAGAGCTCTTCAATGAGTTTTTTGCCTCTGTCTTCTTAAACAGGAACCTAGACGAACCCTCAATATGCATCACGGACACCAATAAGGGGAACATCAGCTGACCAACTGCCAGTGCCAACACAGTAAAAAGACACTTGGAGGGACTGGATATGTTCAAATCCCTGGGACCGGAGGGACTCCACCCACGGGTATTGAAGGAATTAGCGAATGTCATAGCTGAACCACTGGCAAGGATATATGAGCACTCATGGTGCTCAGGTTAGGGCCTGGAGGATTAGAAGAAGGCCAATGTCACCCCAATCTTTAAGAAGGGGAGGAAGGAGGATCTGGGGAACTATAGACCAGTTAACCTTACTTCTATCCCTGGGAAAATCGTAGAAAAAATTATCAAGGAACATCTGTGGGAGCCTGCTGGCTAATGTGATGTGGAGGGGTAAGCAACATGGGTTTATAGCAGGCAGGTCCTGCCTGACTAACCTAGTTTCTTTTTACAACAAGGCCACCAAATGTTTAGATGCAGGAGTTGAGGTGGATGTTATCTATCTGGACTTCAAGAAGGCCTTTGACACGATATCCCATACCATCCTTATAAATAAACTGAGGAGATTTGCTTTGGATGATTATATGATAGACTGGGTAGCAAACTGGCTCAAGGGTTGCACTCAGAGAGTTGTAGTGGATGGGTCGGTGTCAACATGGAAAGATGTGTGCAGTGGAGTCCCTCAGGGCTCAGTTCTGGGGCCAGTGCTGTTCAACATCTTTATCAGTGATCTGGATGAGGGGTTGGGAAGCACCCTGTTCAAATTCACAGATGACACAAAAATATGGGGTGAAGCTAACACCCTGGAGAGGAGGAACCAGTTCTAGACTGACCTAGACAGGTTGGGGAAGTGGGCAGAGAGCAGCAAGATGCAATTCAATAAGGAGTTATTGCTGGGAGGAGTTATTGCTGCTCCAATTCAATAAGGAGTTATTCAATAAGGAGTCCTGCTGGGTATAATGAGTTGTCCAAGTTTGCTGATGACAACAAGATGTGGGGAGAGGTAGGCACACTCAAAGGGAGAGAGAGGCTGAAATTAGACTTAGACAGACTACAGAAGTGGGCGGATGGTAATGGGATGGGCTTCAATGTAGACAAATGTAGGGTGCTGCACCTGGGGAGAAGGAATCCACAGCTTGCAGACAAGCTGGGGAGCTCCCCTCTTTTTGAGCACAGAGGAGGAAAGGAATCTTGGAGTCATTATTGACTCCAAGATGAACATAAGCCGCCAATGCCAGACCTCAGCCAGCAAAGCCAAACGCACCTTGT